TAGAGTGAGGTAGGATCTGGATTCATCGAACGCCGATGAGGCTAGCAGATGAAAATGCCCTTAGATATAAACGTTGTCTCCCCGTCCAAATCATTCCAGATATTTACGAATATCCAACAGCTATGCACGGAACCAAATGCAACAAGCCAGACGTTGCTTGCTGAGGGCCAACAAATTCACCTGAAATTCTGGTGACACATGGAAATTTTTAAAATGTGACTCTGGCTGATGTTTATGACTTTACAAGCTTTCAAATAAAAGTGCCCCCATTCAAAGCTCTATGAAACTCTTGTTTTCGCGTATCATTTGTTTACATTTATTGTTGAGTCCTTCTAATTCTTTTAACTCCATTTCTCCTGTTTATGTATATCTTTGGCAGCGGGATTAACTTTATTCCACCTCATCCACAGAGTTTGCGTGCTTCATTTTCATTGACTTCTTGTTTTAATCATCCCTTCCTTGCCTTTCTTCATTTAGTATAGGCAATGTCGACCTGATGAGCGCTTCCTTACGACCACCAATGAATATCTTGGCTTCCGTTGCAATGCCAACCAGGCTTAACACGCTCACCTATTCAGTTCGACCTCCTTCTAACGCTACATCATAATGGCTACTCGCAGTTTAGATTCTTCTTCGAAGGGTAGCATTATTCCACCATTTGGTAACATGCAGAATGCGAAATAATTGTTTGCCTGTACACTATGTGGGTTGCAGTTTGGTGAAGTCGGTCAGAATCGGCGTCTCTGTATTCCTCTTGGTCCTTGTTGGATTCCAAGGTCAAAGTGGGTCCATGTTAGAGTTCACTAGGCAACTGTTCTGAAAAAAGACCTAGGCCCGCTTAGAGTGTGATGTGAGTGTAGCACCTGTTTTAGGAGTTCAAACTACACGAAAGGTCGACCACTGTTGCCACCGATGTCCACCGTATGCTCCAAAACAGGGCGAAAGCAGGGTCGCTGACTTGGACGTGATTTTTTTAATACTGATAGTGGTCTTTCCTAGCATCAACCACATTCTCCCCTCTTCTCCCACATGAAGCCGGTGCCAAGACAGGGTCGTGAGGACCGGAGGTGGGGGAGGGCGCAGGTGGCTGGCACGACGAAAACCCGCGCTTAGGCGTACCCCCACACCCTCTGGTTCACAACATACAAAAATATACAAAGTAGTAGCTCGTTCATCTTTGCCAATGATGACAATTTCCATCATGTCACTGTCGTTTTTATGGGTACTTATAGATGCACCGAGATTATTGCAAGTACGATGGCTGCGGATTGATCCTATAAAGTCAGTGCGAGCATTAAATACGTGCTGACATTGAAGAACTGCTTGGTTGGTATAAGCCGGCCTGTTTGCAGCGTTGTTACTTGGTGTTTCGGTTTTGCATTCCGGCCTGACTTCCTGAAGAATTAATCTTCAAATATTGCAAATCCTTTTTTCAATATATGCATTTACGCCTACAGATCATGCGCAAGAATCCTCCAGGAGTAATTGTCGGTTCCAAGGCATTTAGACAGGTATTTGGTATTCGCTTGTACTATTGTCTTTATCCTCCCTTTCCACTGGCATCTGTAATAACGGTAAAAGACAATAGTCGCCTCGATGGACACCCATCTAGTACTGTCAGGACCTAATTTCTGCATTCGACTGGAACCCTTTCGACATTACCCGAATGTTAAGCACGCCGGTAACTTCCAATACCTGGTTACTTGGAAACCATTATCAACACCTCGCAGTTGGAATGCAAAAACGTTAGCTAAGCAAGTATCATCACGGCTACTTCACACGGCCTTCAGAGGTAGTTGAGCTCTCTGTTTCGTTGCGAAGCTATGCCAGTTTCACTGTCCTGTAGCCGCTGACTTGTTGTGAAGAAGGATTCCAAAAAGTTTTGTAGTGAGGACCATAACTTTCTAAAAGTCTGACTAGTCATCGGATCCGAGCTGTTCTTGTCGTTCATTGACATGTTTGTTATGGTCACAGACAAGGATATGAGGTTGCATACACTGGGAAGTTGGCAGGGGCTGATGTACTTTCATAGGATTAATGCGCGTTCATTGATAATTAGATCTAAATTTTACCAAATATCTGATTATATCATCGAATTTGATAATCGTTGGCGAACATCTTACGTACCTTATACTTGGAGATTGAAAGATGAAACTTTAGACGTCAAAATCTAGGCTCCTCCTCACGATAAAGAATTGACTGAGAGAGAGAGAGAGCATGTAATTAGGGAACTGTAAAGCGAATTCGGACTCCTCCTCATTCAAACGATCGCAGGGAAGGTAATTATAGTGAACCCATTGCCGAATATAACGAATGGCGTATAAGCAGGCAGGTGTCTCAGCGCATGTTGGTGAAAAATGTCCGGGTAATCTGAACTTCGCAGTTAGCTTTCTAAATTTTTTGTTAGTCTTTTTATGATCAATGTGTTGAAGATCTTTTTCTTGTAGAGGAGCCAGCTGATTATGCCAGTTCGGATCTCTTAACGAGGATAATATTGAGAGTTACATGGTGTCTGCAGAATGCACAACTTTTGTACATGTGTCATTTTGTGGGGATTGACATAAACGCAAAAATTTGGAACGGCTTATAGTAAAAGAGGGTAGGATAAACGCAGCACAGACGACAGAATAACTCTAAACTAAATAGTCCTATCTTCCCTTCTCGAAGACTGTAGAAGAACAAGACGCCATTTTTGCGTACCTGTGCCTATTTTCGGTTTGCGCTCTCGTCTTTTATTTCATAACGTCTGTCAGTTGGTTCAAAAATAAAATAGCAGTATTCCAACCCCTTTCCGATCGACATTCCCCGCCCCTAAAACCGTTTGGCTTATACTACAGGCGGACTGAGTCCACCACAATAATTTTCGTGAAACAAAGGGTGCCTGTGTCCATTCTAAAACAATTGGACCGAAAAAAGCGATCATAAAAAACGAATGTACTGTTTGCCTTAACGTAGGAATCGGCAAGGCACACCTGGTTGCTGCCTACCTCGGGGAGGCCACTTGCGCTGAACACGAACAAACAGGAAGATAATGACACAGTCAGACGAACAGCCAAACACAGGTGGCATGAATCAGCCATGCAGCAGCATAAACAAACATGAATTAGGGCCATCCAGTCGGTGTCGACGAAGTCAACAAGCCGGATGAAACCACAAGTTGGTTAGAAGGCGCATTTTCCATGTCTAGACAGCTAGGTTGATGCTACTGCAGAAAAGGGTTAATGCTCTGAGCACCATCGTCCTATGTTGGTATCTCCGCACAACTCCCTTTTTGATCACAGTGCCATTAGCGGAGGCCGTAAAACCCCAATTTGAGAAGCCGTCGCAAAAGGAACAGAGTACCTTCTATACATCATTCGTTGGTTGGAGGGCAATTGTCCCCAACTACAATCGTTAGCTCCTGTCAAGAGCGTCGACTTAAGGAGACCGCCTAGGTTTCTCAGCCGTGTCCCTGAAATGCGCGTCTTTGCCTAAAGCAATACTGACAACTGCGGTACAGTAGCAGAACTCAGATAAGACCATCATTGGACATACATCATTCAGTGTGTGGATTAAAGGCGCGTTTGCACAGAAGTAAACGGAGGAAACGGTGAACTCCATTAAGGGCAGGGCAGCCGGTTCTAACGTCGGGTTGTATCGACAGACTCGTGTTAGCTGGCTTCTGTATAAAGATAAAATCGCTCAACAACAAATGGCTCCTCCGTAATCAGATACATAGACGGCATCTTAGAAAATGGAAGTCCAACCTATACATTTTTTACAGAGTGGGAACTTTAAATCGAATTCAGACGTGAATGAACATGACACTTTATTTTTGTATTCGGTCATACATTGCTGCCCTTATGCGTCGACTGTCTGCTCTGGTCCGCTTTAATGGCAAGCATTCTTCGGTGGAGTATTTTAATGATAGTGAGAGCACTAACTGTGGGAGATATTGTTTCACCGACGTGACTTTGTTTAGAGGAGTTATCGTGTTGTCCCCGAAGAGAAAAGGCCACCATCTTGCCCCAAGAACAATTTGTTGACAAAGTTGCTGCGGTTGGACATGGGAATAAAGATCCCCGGCGAAAAGGTGGTCTTGCAATAAATTCCACCGGTGGGTACCTATTTCTGTCTCCTAACTTTACCAGGAATGCTAACGCCAACCCCAATTCTAACGCTGCTTACCCTGCCCTCACACTAAATCTAACCGCCTGAAGCTTAGCGTAAGACCTTCTGTAATTCGGGGGTGCATATTACCGATTCCTATCTCTGCCCCCAGCTCAGTTTTGTCCAAAACGGGGGAGGACAGTTTTGAGAGACCACATAAACTTCTGAATGATTGCGGCCTCATCAGTCAAGAGGAACACAGATCTAATTCTAATGATTGGTCGTCCTCAAGACCCCAAAGAATGTTCCCGCTAGTTCCCCTATGTCGACCTCCTGTTTTCCTATTCTCCCACTCCCACGGCAGCAAAATCCCATCTCGCTAACAGCTGATTGCGTGTTCAAGGGTTTCACCGGCCGAGCTCACTTCAGCCGTGAGTGACTGCTATGGTAATTGGCACTTTGCAAAGTTCCGAAGGCAACGCAATCTAAATAAGTGAAGAAGATTTAAACACTTAGATCATGCAAATGGAAAGAACTGATTTGCTGATGTGGGACAGGCTTCACTTGTCATAAACATCACCGCTGTTTCACGTGGATATACAAACAGATTTCAGTACCGTGTAGAAAGAATGAATCAAATACTGAATCCTATTTCATCCGCGTCCACTTAATAGGCACAAACGTCCGTGAAAATGTCGATAAAATCTGCCAGATGGCTTCCGTGGTGTAAACGAACTACAGAAAATCGCTGTAACAGCACCTAATAGCCAGAGCGTGTGTGATGCTAATTTTCCCAAGAAGTCCAGAACTGCCTATACCCGACGAAATACTTATTTACTAGTAGAGAACGGAGTAGACCCATGGGAAATTCACCAGGAACATGTGGCCGCCAAACTATATTCCCAAAATGATTAGTTGTTCAGTTCGAATGCGCTGTCGGACGACGCAGTCTGAGGCGTGAACCGGAGGATGTATGAGGCCCTTTCCTAAAAATAAACAGAAAAACGAAGACTTTTGGCGGACGGATGAGAAATTCACGAAATGGCGTAAGAGCATGGATAAGGAGACTGAAGGGAATCATTTAATCTTTGTGTCTTCCTGCTAGGGCCTTAGCACAAACAGAAAGATGCAACTGGAGTGAGCTTGCTTGGTTTGGCGTTCAAAAAAGCCCTCAAACATAGCCTTAAATAAAAAGTCTTTTGTGATTTCCTTTGAACACAATTGCGGTGTGGTCGCACAGGGCTTTGTAGTAAATGATAAGGAATATTACGGCCTCGATAGATTTGCCGCTGGATGTCTTACCTCACCATTAGAAGAGAGTAGTTTAGTCCGCACGATTGTGCCAGTGGGCCAGCAGGAATCCACGAGTTCTAGGTCGGCTGAGTCAGTCGGCCTTTTTCTGTGAGACCAGATCTGAAGAAAAATTGTGAATTGGAATCAGATAGGTGTAATGCGGTGGAAAATATCAAAAAATGAGCCAGTCAGATCGACTGCCTATATTGACCTCTTAATCGTGTTCATACAGGTGATAGGTCCAAAGCCGATCGCTCATCTTACCCATCAAGGAGGAGGTGCCAATTCAAATAAACGTTGATGGTCCAAGAACTCAAAGTCAGTGAATGGGCCGCTCATATTAAAGTAATGTAGTCTTGGCTGTTTCGCCACACTGACCCTGAATCAGTATACAGTGTCTGTAAGCTTGTCCCTAATTCCAACTAATGACTCCTAAGGTTTCCTGAACCTCATAAACTGCTGAACCTTAAAATTCCATGACAGTTCGGCCGTCACAAGCGGCGGCATCCCCTGCGGACCGCTCGGAGTGCGTGTCGCACAGATGACTTGCACGTGAATTAAATTCTCGATTAGGTATGCCCGCCCAGCATCTACCGCACTGTCTTCTCCGTCGCTGATCATGTTTAGATGGCAAGGCAGTGACAAGAAGTGGCTGGAAGTGGACTCGGGCGCAGTGGTGGCTGACAAAGACAGACAGCCCGTTTGCGCGCGCCACACACGTGCTGAGGTTCTCATTACATGTGTCGAGATGCTCCAAGGACCCACATCAAGAAGGAGGATATGGAGGCCGCATTGAGAAGGATCCAGTGCAGTTTGGCTCTCAGTCCATTAGTTGCTCCAACATACTCGTCAGAAGTACCTAGTAAATTCGTTCAGGCCTCCAGTGGGATTTTCAAAGTGTATCGTGTGGGTTGCCTGCACTGTGACAAGAAGACTGAATCCAGTGAGGAAAAAAAGGGATCATTGCAGATGCTGCAGCGTGTTTGTCAGCTGTGCTAAACATTCGTTTTTTACATTGGGAGGTCTGATCGAGTGAGCAGTTTATTGAGACAAAAGTGACCCGAAAATCATACTGATTAGCGTTTTCGGTTAATTTGCCGGCTAAATCGCAGTTGGTAGCCAGGCCCCGTATTACAGGTGGCGGGGGGGATTGTTTACTGGGGCTATTTTGTAGGGTTCCATAATTACATCTGACTCATTTGACTTCCGTATTACGTTGGAGGTTAGGACTAGGGTACCGGTTAATGGTTTCCGATTTTTGGGTTAGGGTTATGCCTTTAGGCTTAGGTTTTCGGCTTACGGTTAGGGTTTGAGCGTACGATTAAGTTTCAGCATTACTGTGAGGTTTTTCAGTTACGGCTACGTCTAAGGGCTACGGTTACGTTTACGATTTCGGTTAGGGTTAGGGTTTGGATTGCCGTTAGGGTTAACGGTTAACGTTTAAGTTTGAGTTTAGCGTCAGGGTTAAGGTTAGGATTAGGGTTAAGGTCGCCGTTCGCTTCCCCAGTCCTGGTTACCAACTGCTATCTTGCCAATTTGTCTTCGTCATTCGGAGCCTCGTCAGACCGTGCACAGATAAGACCACTTTACGTGATCTGATGCGTTCAATTCGACTACCACTCTAATTAGAGTTTAGAAGCTGCAAAAACTAAAAAGGTATTTTAGACAATAAAAGACGGGTCTAAGTCCCCATCGGCAAACTTAAATTGACTTGGGGTTGAAAATGGCATCCTGCGAATTTGAACTTCAGGCCGGGGAAGCTAAGAAGGTAGAATTATGAACAAGTCGTTAACCGACTGGCCCAGTAAAAGAACTGATGAGAAAGTAAAACCTTTTACGGAAGCGTGCTCCCTCTTCCTCACTTGAGACCCATGATAATCAACTATACACCTACCTAAAGTTAGAACTTGGTATAAAGGACAATAAAATGGCACCCACAATGCGGAAACAGTTCCACACCTGTGTCTCATCAATGAATCAATCTATCGAGCACGCTTGGTCCGCATATCAGACAGGTGATCGATAAATCAATAAAAACCGAGCGACGAGGATTTGGCTGCAGATTCGAAAAATAAATTTATTCGGTTTGGAAACGGGTGTTTGAAAAAAAATTGATGCGCACCCCTAAACGGTTCCAGGTAGATACAATAAAGTACAAAATTTTATCGTCGGATTTCATTGCACAGGCCGTGCTAGATGCCTTGAACGTGGGTTACCTTCAATTAATGTAACGGTTACGTTGTACGGGCAAAAATTGCGTCTCGGACACTCAGCGTCTGCCAGGGCCTGTATAACGAGGAGATATTTCCCAGTTAAACAACATGCTGGCTTACTGAATTCCTAACCTATAGGTTTAAGTCGTCCGACTGCCGACTGCCGTCAAGGTATTCTAGGTCGTTTTTCTTTAGAAAACAAGTTTAGTCTTCGAAGGTGATTAAAAGACTGGCTGGCAGAAGCAGATATTTTTATTCAATTTCATTTGGACGACTTTCGCATATGGTGGAAGGACGTTTACGGAGCCGATCTGGTCGAAGGACAAAATACTGGCGTTCCAAATTGCCTTGGAGTGCAGGTCTAACGCATTCATTTCGACGACTCTTTATATCCTGCTTTAAATCTCCGACCTACTCAACCTTGAGATGGGTTGTGTCTGGTTGACAACACCGAAAGAAACATGAATGGCTACATCGTCGTGGCTTGTGTTTGTCAAAAAAACTATCGGCTTTCATAAAACCTAAAGGCCATTGGGGCGCGGGTTGGAAGCTGTTTCTTTGTCGCAATCTGGTCCTCTTCAAATGGCAGGGACTTTTTACAAGCGAGTGTTTTGCCAAACTTGACTGTGACGACCTCGCATCATGCAAGTCATTCATTGGTTTCTAGTAGTGTTTGTCTTCCAAAATTTAGGTTGACTTTTACAAAGACGAAAACACGAAGAGGTCGTGATTTACAATGTTGCTGGAATACTTACTGGTGGCTGGGAGAAAGCTCAAACTTAAGTACCTGACCTCTATGGGGCAGCTCGCGCACAGTCCTGCCGAAACCATCATGAGCGTTTTTGCGGCTGTGCTCCACGTGGTGGTTAGCGGGTGGATTATAAAATCAGTTGTCAGCACCAAAACAAATCTGACTTGGAATGACAATAGGGACCCTAAAAATAAATAAGAGGCAACAAAAAACTGCCAGCTTATAGTGCCAACTCTACTCTTACGTCTGGCTGCCCAGACGAAAGGCGATGAGTGTCACACGGTGGCTCATTACCTTGCGTGTCCCTTTAGGTCCTTAGGTCTGATAATGACGAACACTGTTCTTCTTGTCTAGCTGACAAATTGCGAAAGTCGAATTCGCTCGACATACCGCTGGTGACTACTTGCCTGCTGACCATTACCTACCGGATTCTTCGCCTTGAGCATACAGCGGTGTTAAAGGCTTAAGCTAGATCCCACACAATTAACAAACGGCAGTCTCGCTTACTCGTCCGTGAATCAAATAACTGCGACTTTCAGCATCTTTTCTCCATGAAAGGTCTGGCCAGTGGCTTGATCTAGTGCCTAAGTCATAACTCAGTCTCCCATGGCAAGAGCTTTCCGTTTTTTCGTACATCATATTGATGTACGTGTCAGCGGTATGGCGTTGATCCACATATTTTCAGAATTTACAATCAACGGTGGCTGCAAAATGACATTCAAGAAAATCACGGGAGCCTAAATTCATCACTATACTTTCCCTCTGAAGATAAAGGGATTATATTTTTTGGTGAAAGACGGTGCAGTGCTCTGTTGGATGGAGTCGGGAAATGTGTAGGACAAAAAAGGGTTTGTGAGACAGGGATGATCTATGGCATATGGTGGAGGTGCTAAACACATTTATCGTGCAGACGTTTTGTCGATAAACTGAGAACACTACAGAAAGATTGCTAAGAGGAGCGAAAATTGTAGCAAAATTTTTAACCAGCACCACTTACGTGTAAATACAATTGTAAATGGAGCATGAATGAAGTAAATGAAAAAGAAAACACACCTTAATGGACCGGTTACCATTTTCAGTGCCCAGCACAGTGCCCGCTGGGATAACATAGGCAATAGCCGCCTGATCTTCATCCACCACGCGCAGTAGTTTCATGCCCCCGATGTCCTCTCTCTGTGAATTAAAAATAAACTGTGGGCAAACTATGGACAAAATTTCACTTGGTCATCTCCTATATTTTGGCTTTGAGTTCATGAAGCAACTGTCAAATTCCATTTATCTGGAATCGAGGATAGGAAACTACTTAAATAGACAAAAAAATCAGCTCTATTGGCTCTGATCAATTCGCATAAAATGAAAGCATAAAAAGGAAAAGACAAGGACACGAGTTTTAATGAGTGTCCCTTCGGCTACACAATTAAAACAGACAACGTAAAGAGATCAGGTCTGTGCGTTTTACGGCACCTTAAAAGACCTGGTTTCCCTTGCTCACGTCAAAGTTGACTGCCAGTCTGTTGCAATTTTGCCCAGTCAAAATCAAAAACGACGCGGAGGCACCGGGTCATCCCCTAGGAAAAACTGGCGAACAGGGGACCTGAGTCAATTTTATCTGGTCATGGGGTAAAAGGAGGAGGGTCGTATCCTAATGTCAAAAGGGGCTCGGAGGATGTAGCGATTAGTGCGAGCCGTGCCAGAGCTCAGGAACAATGGACGGGCACATGCGGGAATTGAGGCTTCACGGGGATTCTCGTAGTGGGAAAGGAACGCCCTGTCAAAAATCTGAAGCGGGGACGTGGAGGACCACAAGTCTACATCGGAACGTCATTTGAAATGTTACGGAGGACACTAATTTTTTTCTGAACGCCATTTTGCGTTTCGCGATGAAAGCCTTCTCGGCGATAAGTCTATCCTCACAACTGATCCACCTCCCAGGCGTAATTTAAGCGACTGTAAAGTCTACCAAATTTGCCAGACTTTGCAGATGCAGGGTTACTATTAGTGGCGACCTTAACCGCTCCTTTATTTTGATTGTTTTACATTGTCTCAACAAGAGCGCTCTGTTTACCGAAGTCCAGCAGACTAGGGAATGTGATATTTCGCGTGTTCAGCGCGTAGTCCAGCCGGCAGAATCGACTGAGGAGCCTACTGATTCCATCTGTGAGATTTTCGGTTATAAGGGAAACTCAGCAAATCCTTGTTAAAACTGGCTGGAATACAATGTTTTTTGTTTCCAATGTTCAGTTTAATGAGCCTAAATTTCTCAAGAGTGAGGGTCTACCAATATTTGATAAAACCTTTTAGTCCCACTCTTACACTACCAACGAGACACAAAAAATTCTTCCTTTAGCATAATACTGATTAAGTATCGATTGGCTATCTCAAGGTGACCACCTGCGGGGCTCTGAAACCGTACGCTACGGTAAAGCAGGCCGCCTGTATTCCATCTTACTAGTGATTTTGACGAGGAGACGGCTCGATCAAGGTAGACAAATGAGAGGCAGCTTGCAAAGAGAATCTTCGGCCAACTTACCTGTGACCCGTTATTGGTCAACATTACAAAAGACCCATCCAGGGCGCACTCATTTATCGTGACATTTCCCTTGGAACTCCGTGTGTGGGTAACCTTTAGGGGGTCCTCTGAAAGAACCAGTTCTGATCTGACTTTGTCGGCTAAAAATAAAATGTACAGATGTGTTTCAACAGGCGGCACTGACTATTGTAACTAGGGCTTATAAGCAGTAATAATTTGTCCTCAGAAATGCTGATTTCATTGGCTAAACAAACCAGTAATTAGAGCAAATTTTGGCATTTACTAGTTACTGCTTGCATTAAACAAAGTATTGAATAAATGCGAAAATTAAACAAGTAGATTTTGCGTATCCGAAGATTTAATCATTTAAGATCTATTTCAGCGGTGATAGAGGGATTTCAAATGTTGTTTGTCGTAATCCTGCCGTCTTTGAATATCCGCCAAAAGACCTGGTTGCAGTAATGGAGTATTTCGTTGGCGGCGTTTCAGATGTGCACTTGGTTAACGCTGATGTAAATAAAGTTTTAATAAACTAAAAACTGAGTCTGTTGTTAAACTTTATTGGAGCACAGTCTGCTGATGCTTAAGGGACAAGATAACTTATCTCGAGGTTAGGATAAAGGCTCAGAAATACTTCCACAAGGGGGTCAAGAAGGACTCCTTATAAGCTTGCGGCAAGTATTGCTGAAAATCTTGACATATAGTGTGGCTTTTTGGCTTATGCTTGAACTTCCAAGGTGCGTGCCCATTCTCGTACATAAAGAAATGACTGACAGTTAAAGAGGGCAAGGTGCGTATGCCAGTCGATTACTTTTCCAGGTTTCAGTATATCAGAATAAAAATGCATATTTTTGCATCTTCTAAAAATTTCCCAATTCGGAAATATAAATGGTTGTATTTTTTGACGATTGCAGAGGTCAGAAACAGATTTTGAAAACACAAACTCTAAAAATAACAAACTGCTATCCGAGAATTGCGCTTAAAGTCAGTTCCTGTAAACCATTATTTTTGAAGCATTTTGAATGCACATAAAGAGGGAATGGCCTTCCAGACAAAACTGCATGCTCTCGTGATCAAAGAATTATTCTGTTTCGCGAATGTCCAATTAGCATTTAGTATTTATATGCTTGCGAAGAAGAAATTAATGTTGATCTGATCACTCGACTCAGAAATCGTGTGGCGTAAAAGACAATATCACGTTCAATTTTATATGCCAGTAAAAATTCAATTTAATTGGACTTCTTTCGAATATAATGCCAGCATGAACCAATACAAAATCTTACATGGCTTCCCCTGAACGGAGTGTCTACAATGAGGAAGATGTGAAAAGTCAGAGGCGGTTAGAGTGTAACAATACATATTTTCACAACATGACAATGAATATTCAATGGCTAGGGAGAAGATTAATCGGAAGAGGAGATCGTGAATGGTAAAAGGGAACGCGCAAACTATCGCTCCACATAAAGGTTGTGGATTCCAAAGCTACTCGTACTACCAGTGAACAAACTGAACAGGATGAATACGTCCCATGCAATGAACGATGAAATAAACTAGTCGGAAATAGCAACCGTCTCGCAATGAAGATGGTCTTGTGCGTAATTCCACGGAAGTGAGGGTTACAAATGGTTGTCTTTTCTATAATTCAGCGCAAGAACATCTGTATAATGAGAAAGTTTTTACTTCCCTGCGAAAATATCAGAAAACTGCAAGCTATTAATGTAAAAATGTTCCAAATCGATGTGAAATAAGTTTGGTGCAAATAACAGTGGACTTTCCTTATATAAATTTTGTTAAACAAGAGTGAACAATGTAAGCGGCGACAATACGTGGAGGCAATGTCATCATGTCTTTGGTAACTGTTCAGTTAGATTTAATTCGTCATTTTGAATGCCCGAGGAAGTCAAGGCTGGTGAGTCACAATAAAAAAGGGAGAAACATAGTCCGTAAATTGTATTGCCCCCTCTCTGATTATTTCACTCTGTCGCTTTTTGACGGTCGCAATTCGAGTGACGCTGTCCGCACGTATCGAAGCGACCGTGTACGTGACCAATTTAAATGTCTACTACATGAATTACACTACCTCCTCGTACTCAAGAGGATGGAGTTTAACTCTAAGTACTTTGACTCAGGCTACCTTGAAGGGGAGCATTGGCCGATTTTCCTCCAGGACTAGGAATGTTAATTTGCTTGAGTCATACAATCATTTTATGAGAAGGTATTTGGTCGATAAAGCACAGCTCCCCTCGCTACTGCTGCTGCTGTGGCCTCTGCTTCTGATGGAACCTAGTGCAATTTCAGCACGCATTATGTCCGATGCTTACGGCCTGATGCGTAATGACATGCATCATATGCCCTGCTTTACAGGCTGGAAATGCGCGTCAGCAACAGACCTGGTTGACTGCTCGATCTTTGGCTGTTTTAATACAAAGCCCATGCTATAATGAGGACTTCAGACCTCCCCCCACTTTTTCATTCTTAACGTGTTCCAGTCCCCAGTGCCTGTCAACTGTTGTGTTTTGGCCGGATAACTAATTCCCCATAACAATGCTCGAAATTCATATGCGGAACGGACACGAAAAGCATTTACGTTCGCCTATGCATCGAGAATATCTGCACCAACTCCACTTAAAATATTCCATCCAGTTTCCTCTCGGAAAAGGTTGACCCATCCGCTAGAAACTCGTATTTTATGGCCAGTTTCATGCGAAAAATTGGGCATTTATGTCCTGAGGGTGCTTGAAAAGCAACACGCCGGTCGTTCACGGGAAGCCACTAACCAATCATCGTAACAACGAGGACGATATATCACAATTGCTGGTCTCAGGACACATTAAGAACTCAATAGTAACCTTTTCTCTTCAAATTCAAGAAGGCGTCTGTACGAGGCGATTTCCATCTCCAGACCAAGTTTTGAATCCAACAGCGCTTCGAAATCCAGTCGCAGTCGTTGGAGCTCCATTTGGCAGTTATTCAAGTCGAGAGCCAAATGCTGTTGGCTCCTATCTCCGGTCCTCAGGCGCTCAGAGTTTTCGTTCTGGAGATCGCGGAGACTTCGTTCAAGGTACATATTCTGAGGAAAGACCGAACACATTTTCTGTCAGCGGATACTGTGAAACTGCTATGAAGCATCTTTGTTAATAAATTAACCTAGAGCTATATTGTGTTTACTTCTATTATTATTTCTGGAAAAAAAAACGGTTATAGTGCGCGTGTGCTTTAAAGGTAAAGGTGCTCGGGTTGCAGGATGCCAGATCAGGCAGAAACGAAAAAGAATGTTTAAATATAACGGTCACTTTCGAGCTCAACACGCTCCGATTTGCTGGCACCTTTTCCCATCTCTTAGTGCTGTTTACTTTAAACCCTCAGTAGGGAAGAGATTTGTCTGTTTCTAACGTGAAACTAAGCTTGACGGTAACAATCGGGAGATGGCACCCAAAAAAATCCGTTACCTAGAAATAATACCTTTAACAGGGGACTCAAACGCCTTCAGGCTATATCAGTGGTTGCAGGCCT